GGCTGCAAATTGTCACTCAGTCTGGTTGCTCAGTCTGGTTGCCCCAAAACAGGAGATGCCTTAAGGATCCTGCCTAGAGAAACTGCATTAGAGTGCTTTGCATCATGCTATAGTGCCCAACTTCATCCAGCCTTTCTTCTACTGTAGCTTCTCCTTGATGACAATGCACTGCTTTTATATATCGAAAACCGTGGGAGCGTTCACGGAGTTAATGGGATTTTATGGATTGAATTTTCAGAGTAAGTGGTCCGTCTGGATGGACACTCATAAGTGAGAAATAATTGGTGTTGGTTTTGGGACATGTGAGAGAGCTCCTCAGTTGAAGAGAGAAAAACTTCTGGTGTTCAGCGTCACTAAGAGCGGGTATTACCAAGGAAGCAGTCTCTGTGATCAGCATAAAAGGGAACATAAGTGACGATTAATTCCTTGCTTAGCTTCTCAATTAGCTGTAATTCAGATTGAAAAGAGCTAAACCCCAAGCCCAGTGTTATCATAACAGGATATTCACACCCAGCATCACAGGATAATTGGTGCATAAATTCCTGTTTGTGTCATTTTCCTAGGCTTTCCTCGCACCTTGTCGTGTTGCCTCACCAACACCTCTTTGGTGCCCATGACTTTCAACCTCCGCGTTCCTGGGGACGGCTCGGGAGAGCCCAGTGTTACCAGTTTTGTTCAGATGTCGGACAACACTCGCCCATCCTGGAGAAAGGGAGCCCAAGGTCACGTCAAGCCAACCGAATTTACCGTAAAGCCCTGCAGAGGGACCATCCGCTCCCAGGGCCTCCTGGATATCCAGGTATGGGGAGAACCCGGCCGTACGTGCCTCAGCAGGTGGAGCTGAAGCTTCACTGATGTATGAGAGGGCTTCAGTGCTGCTAGCATAACGCCTGTAAGATATGTGCATTAGTGTTAGGCTTTTCGTTGGCTGGGTTACTCTGGGACATTTCCGAAGGAGCACCGTTTTGTTTCCAAAATCATAAGCTGAAGGTCTTGTACCGTATAGTCAAGTACAAAAGCCATTCATGTGTTTTTGAGAGCTGCTTGGAGTGATTTCTTTGATTTAAAGGGCAGAGGAAGGATGAGGACAGAAGGTGGCTGTTAAAAAGAGAGATGTCATTATATAAAGCAGTTTGCTTTTCTTCCCGGTCTTATTTCTCCTCTCCTGTTGAGCAGAAGGAGCTGTATTCACTGCAGCGATCTCCAATGGGGACTGAAAAAGCTCTGGCAGCCGTGAACCGCACAGCATCTGCCGGGCCAGGTTTTGCCCTCAGCTTCCCACTGTAAAGCTGAACTCGTTCTGTTCAAGTCAACAGATTTTCCTCTGGATTTATGCTATTGTAGTCGAGATTAAAAATTAGTCCCTTAATTTTAATACAGCGGTGAGTAGAGCATTAGTCTAATTGTGCTTTAATTGAGCTTACATACGCCCTGATAACTGCACGGTGTATTTAACAAAGCAGATATTGTCAGTAGACTCTTATTACTCCCAGAGACTGTGCTCTGCACGTGGACCAGAAGAAGAATTAGGGCAAAATCCTCCCTTTCCTTACTGCGGAACGAGAACCGGAGGACACCCCACATGGACGATGGCTTTTGGGAGTGACAAAGTATTTGATGCTCTTCTCTCCTTCCAGGTCACCCTGTGTTCCAACACTGTGAAGAGATACGAGCTGGCACTGGTGGTGGACGTGGATGGTGTTGGCAAGGAGGTGTTGGCACTGCTTCTCACAGCCAGGTGAGAAGCTCATCCTCTCTCCTCATGCATCCACCACCAGCACGCTGTTTGCTGGCTCCAGCTCCAAACGAGAAGCGTTGCTTAATGAGCTGGTTCTGCCCAGCTAGACAGAACAGCAGCGCTTTGAAAGCAGCCCATGTTGAGAAGCACCTGCGCTCAATGGACAGCCTTTTTCTAAAGGGAACAGTAATTATATTCGTTATTGGCCTGGTTTTTGGTGCTTGAAGTGTAAACAAATTTCCAAAGGGCCGCCTCTCCTTCTTCCCGCAAGTGGTGGACTTGTCCTGGGTTGCGACCAAAATGCAACATGCGTTTGGGACGCAGCGAGCAGCCTGCTGAAAGCTGGTGTCTGGTTCAGTTAACGAAGGCACGTGCAAAGGGGGAAGGGGCTTGGGGCAGGCCTGGTGAGGGGAAAAATAAAGGCAAGATCTTATGGAGGGGAAAAATAGTCCTTGATGTGGAAGGTGAGGTCAGGTTTCTCTGCTTTCCTCTGGTTCTTTTGAGCATTAACGTTCTCAGATTTCAGCCAAAAGTTCTTCTTGCTGCAGCCGGATTCAGCCCTGTCGTGCTGCAGTGGGTGTCAGTTTAACGACAAGAGGGATGCAGTTTCCCTCTCCCAGGCAGAGTTGTCCAGTCAGTGCCTGGGCTGCAATTTTGTAAAATAAATGGGAACAGAATGTGTATGGACTCGTGGGGGTGAAGGACCAAGGTAGCTACAGAAGTGAGGAAAGGGTGATCACCCACCACCTCAGGCAGGTGGTGGCTTGTGCCCTCCATCGCTGGGACAAGTGGCTGAGTTTTCAGGCAGGGCAACAGCGGTGTGGGAGAGGAGGGAGTCGCTTTTACCGAGACGCTGGAGTCTTGTGTTCCCTGAGCCTTGGTGAGCGCTGGTCCTCGGTGGGAAGGCTCCCCCAGAGCTCACGCCTTGCTGGGGCCATTGGGAGGGTCCTTGCAAGCCTCCTGGGGCAAAGGTGCCCATCAGACAAGGCACGTGCTCTGCCTGGGCACTTGGCCCCACCGACAAGCCTCCGCGATGCTGAGACTCAGAGTTTGCCCCTCCTTTGCAAGAGGTTGTTGAATAAAAGTGAATAGAAAGAAGTTAAAGGCAATTTATTGCTGTAGGGGTATTAAATGTCTATTTGACAGTGACAAATGTGTTACGCTCCACTTCACCCTATTCGAGGAGTAAACAAATTCTACATTCTCTCAGTATCTCTAATTCCCTTTTGGTCATCTCTTTGCCTAGATGCGTAGTTCCTCCGCTGCGAGTGCTCAACCCCATGGTGACGTTTGGACGGTGCTTTCTAAAATTCCCTTATTGGCAGATGCTGACCCTTGTGAATGACAGCGATCTTCCAGGCTGCTATGGGGTTCTTCCTCAGGTTTGGCATCCCATCTGCCTCATGCCCTCAAATGTTATCGAGGGGTTTATTAGGAAAAAAAGGGGTTTGGATAAGACCTGGCTGGTTTATATTGCTGAGAACCTAACTGAATATAAACTTTAGGAAGCAGTTAAATAGGAACTTACCTGAATATAAACTTTAGGAGGCAGTTTAAACTCTTTAGCAAGCAGTTTGTGTTCTAGTCTTCGGGGTCTTTTCATGCAGGAGAACTTAGAGGGTCATGAAAAGCTGCTGCGAGGAGGCTGCCAGCACAGAAGTGGGATGCAGCAGCTTTTGGACCCCCTCAGGATGCTAAGCCCATACTAGTCTTGCATCTGGTTTTGTACCTTTCTGCTTTCTCCTAGGGATTTTTAAAAAATGTGTGTGAATTGTTGTTGTGGTAGACGTCAAGGAGTTTAAAGTTTCCTCAAAGGTCACTTTGAAGTTGGGTTTGATTCTGTCCCTGATAGGAGCACCAGGAGGATGCTGCTGTGTGGTACTCCAGCCCCGTGCCGTGTGGGATCATCCAGCCTCGCAGCTCGGTGGAGGTCCCATTTACACTGGAAGTCCAGGTGACGGGAGAGCAGGACGCTGTGGCTCATGTCGCGGTGTTTGGGAGTGACGGATCCCCACTGGTGAGTGCTAGGGGAGATGCGTGCCTTTGGGCGACTCATCTTGGTGCGGCGAAAAGCGTACAGGGACTCTTCCTGGGAGAGCAAGAACTTGTAATATATGGCTGGTGCGGACAAGGAAAGAAGGGATTCATGGCGCGAGCAACAGCTAATGCCTAGAGAAGAGGAAGGATGGTATCCTCTTGGGTGATAAGCTAAGTGTCTGACACAGCATTTAGTTACCGATATGCGAGACGGGGTAACGAGCCCAGGCTGAAACTCAGCACAGTCCCTGGGTCTCATACTGGGTTGTGTTATTAGATGAGCAGCAACTGCTGCTTCATTAGGGCTTTTGTTCAGGAGCGCTATGTAAGAAACCATGCCGAAGTGATGTTTTGTGCAAAGCTGGATCTAAGCTTTTCTGAAAGTCAGGCCCATCATGTCTGAGAAATATCCATCAAATCTCTTTGCCAAAAGCCCCAGCCAAAGACACGCGAGTCTCCACACCGCTTCCATCTGGAGCACAGGGACTTTTTTTCTACCAAGCTTGGAAATGGAAGAGGCAAAGCATTCCTGGAGTAAAGCCTCCTAAAGACGTTGCTTCCATTCTGGCATACACAACAGCAGCAACGACCACAAAATGTAGGCAAGAGAACGTTGTATGTAGTGTCCTGGCTTCATCTAGCTGAAATCTACAACAAATTTAGTTAATTAAACTTTAATTTAAAAAGATATTAACTTTTGAAGCAGCTGTTTTAAAATGTCTTGTCATCTCTCTGAGCGTGAAAGAGGATGTCAGAGGGTTGCTGGGAACCTTAAGCTCTCTGTAACAGAAAGGAAGGCTGACGTTTTGAAAGCGGTCTGAGGGGTTTAAACTTTCATTAAAACGAATGGAAATGGTGCTGCTAAATCCCCTGGATGCCACTGACCGTCTCAACCCAGGCCTTTGCGGATGTGCGTGTAAACCAGCCAACAGGCAGGCCAGGCAACGCAGGCTTTGCAGGGAGGTCTGAAGTTTGACAAAACGGTTGCTCATAAATATAAGGCACGCTTCCTTAAGAAGGAGGGTTTCTCCCCTCCAGAATAACCTAGCTGTTTAACTGTTAGCTTGTTTAACTACAGTGTTCTTGCAAAGCTTTAACCCTTGGGCTAACAATTTATAGTTTCAAACTTTACCTTAATCTTTTCTATTTGGAGATGAATATGTCAATTTTTTGCCCAAAGGGTGAGCATTTCAGCTGGAGAATCCTAGCTGTCCCTAAAGAAACGACTAGCATGAGATTGAGCGAGCGTGCACACCCATTAAGTTGATCTTTAACATGCAGCGTTTATGCTCGGTCGCTGCTAGCACCCAGCGAGCGCTGTTAGAAGCCTCGCTGGCTGTATGAGAGCACAGATGTGAGTTTCTGGCCGTCAGATGACATTCTTTGTATTTTCTATAGGACCACCCTATTGTTTGGGTGGTGTTTCAGTCATTCCCTAGTCCAGAGTTTTCTGGGCTAGCAGGGCAGCTAACCATCTTGTTATACATCCTGCACTGGTGGCAAATCCTACCTGTATGGATCATACGATGCGAATCTGACCTCAGGGGAATCGCTGCAATGTATTCCAATAAAGCAAAATACAAGCTTGCTCTTGTTGTCTTAGGTTATACCGTCTGGAATCGATACCCAGTCTTTACAGAGTTAGGTGAAATATCTTTCACCCAGGTTGCGTAGGGTCCCTCCGCGGGTCTGTTGCCTGGTATTTTGTTTGCCAGTGCCCGCGTGCCAGCTTCAGTTTGGTGTATGTGATCTCCTGCACCAAGGGGCTGGAAAACCCAGCCCTGGGGTTGCCGGTGGGAAGGCAGCCTCCAGAGCCATGGGCAGGGCGTTTGGCAGCTGGCCGCTGTCAGAATAAGCGGTCACTCAAACCACGGCTGTCTGCCAGGGACAGATGCTCTTCATTCCTAAATGATCAAATATGACATTACATGCCCATTGCCAAAGCCAGCAGTGTATGTGTGGCAATATTACTGACGGCAGAGTTGCCATCTCCTTTTACTGCCTTTCCCCGTGTGTCACATTGCCGGTAACGCTGTTGAACAGGGTTTTTCTTGTCCCTTTTAAGACGACTGTAGATGAAGGGGTTTTTTTTTTTTATAAGCCCTTGCCTTGGCAAGGATACATCGTGTTAGTACACACTCTGATTGAAACCAGCTAGCCTGGGCATCCTCCAGATGTTATTCTGCCCATCTCCAAAGGGTTCTGCCCTGCCTGTGCTGCTTCCGCACCGCTGGCACCTGGAGGCAAAGCCAGCCGGCGAGGCACCGCTCTATCCCGCGAGCTTCGGGCAGCATCACCCAGACTGCAGCTCTCCATGCCTCCCTTCTCCCGCAGGGATAAAAGATCCATCATCGTGTATGGCTTCAGTTCCTTATTTTTGAGGTACCAGCCCTGGTACATGATTTTTGGCTCTTCCTTGCATGCCGTCAGGGATGTCAAGGGGTGAGCGTTTCTGGATGCTGCTCCTTCTGGCTGAGTTGGACGGGTGATTCTGACAGCTGTCAATGCCATTTCCTTGGGTCAGACATCATTAAAGGTTTTACATCGTGGAGGCTGGTTTCTTTTGTGGTGAAATCATACTCCGTGCCCTCCAGTGAATCGTACAGCAGCTTGTCAGTGTTGGGAGTTTTATGCGTTCGGATTCTGTTTAAGACTTGGGGAGTTTAGAACTAATGAAATCCGGCCAGACTGGATAAATTCTTATTGTTTTTAATGATGTGAGAGTGTGATTTAGCAAAGGGATGCGTATTCCTTCTCCAATAGTCTGTGCCAGTTCTGCAAGGACAAAACTTTTGGGTCTCAGACCCAAAGAAAAAAATACTGCTTGAATGATGTAATTCATAATTAATGTCGTATTCATATAATACCGGGAATACACATAAGCACAAATCAGAGGCAACTAACTTACACGATCTCTGCTCTTAAGAGCCTGCTTTGCTGCTGACTTGTGCTGGTTTTCACAGGTGTAGCTTTGGGAATGTTAAAGAAGTTACTGCCCCAGCAGCAGGAGTCAGGGAGGGTGGTTTGGGGCGAGATTGAGCAGTAAAAGGAGTGGGAGCAGGCACAGGGCAGAGGAAGGAGAGGGAACAGTCTGGAGGAGGTGTGAAAAAGCAAGCATGGGAAACTGGGTTTCTTTATCCCCCAATAACAGGAGCTTGTGGCTTTCCAATGGGATCTCTCTAGATCCCACACTTGCTCCAGGCCTTCTGCATCAGTGTTACAACACTGAAAACTTCAAACAGCCATAATTATCCCCCAGACTTGGAGTACCCTTAGAGCTGTCTAATCTTCTTAAACTTTCCCTGTTGTTCGGTTTTTTTTTTTGGATCTTTCCTATCTGCTTCCTGGAGCAGAAAATCCATTTAATGAGCATTGGAGAAGGACCGGTTGTCTACGTGCATCCGAGTAAGATCAATTTTGGCACTATCCAAGTTCTACAAGATGCTTCCCGAACTCTCCACCTCTCCAATCAGGCTGTCATCCCTGCATCCTTCTGGGCAGAGATGGTAAGTATCTGTGGGGCTATTTTCCAACAAAAATGACTGGTCCATAGCAGCCTGTGACTTGATTTTTATATGCAACATTTCCATATCGCTATCTGAGAGAGAAAGCAAGATATTCCATCACAATGCAGCAAGAAGAGCCTGGCTCTGGGGGCAGTTTTAGCTGGGGGACCCCTCAGTAAAATAGAGAATTTGCATAGATGTTTGAGCAGAAATGAGTCTGGATCATTTGTACAAGTTCTCCCTTTATTTTGTGGAAGGTATTTAGCTCTGAGAATCATGTTTTTGGAGCTCTGAGGTCAAGAGAACCCTTTGCTCCTGAAAAGGCATGGGTTTCCCTGCGGTTTCCCTTTTACATCTGCATTTGCTTTGCCTCAAACTCCTGCTAACGCTAGAGATGATGGTGTGAGGTCTGTCCTCAAACTGCTCGTGGTGAGGTGAGTTTCACATCTACTGGGGATCAAACCAGCTGGATTGTTGAACAAAAATATACTTGTAAGGGTCTGTGGACTCCGTAGTGTTGCAGAGCATCTCTGGAGACTAGCTGCGGAAAAAGGCTATTAAATTCACGGAGGCTGCCTAGCGCGACAAGCTGCGTAGCAGGAGAGTGTGGCAGGGATGATGGAGCCGGGAAGGACTGGGGTGCTGCGGCTGGGTGGGATGTGCTCCCCACTGGAGGGGGGATCGGGACAGGAAAACAGGGTTTGGAGGAGGTTTGCGCTTCTCTCTGCTAGGTGGGTTGAACTGCTGGGGCTGGTTAACCCAGGCTGAATTTCCCTCTTGCCGCTTTTCTAGCTGTTTCACTCCAGTTTCTGTGCCCAGGAGGGTAAATGTAACCTGAAAGTGGGGGATTCCCAGGGCAGCTTTCTTTGACTCCACAATGAACATCTGCTTTCCATCTCTGCAGAGAGCAAGCCACCTCGGATGGGTAGTACTGGTGTATAAATGGTGGGGTTTGCATGCTTATACCCCAGACTGACCTGCAGAGCTCTGCTCGGGTACTGCCGTCCTGGTGCAATGCCTTCCCTCGCTCCCCTGCGCAGCTTGCCGTGGACCCAGGGGCTTGCAGGGGTGTATCTGCCTCTCCATTGCCTCGGTGCCCTAACTTATGGGATTGGGCGATGAATCCTATCCTGCTTCACTGCAATCTCTGCAAATATTGTGGCTAATCGATAAGTAGAACAATAATCTGAGGTGGTTCAGGGATGGTTTCTTTTCCTGCAGTAAAGCTGGGCTCTGTTGCTCCATAGTCCCGCTTGCTGGCTTCACAGGGTTGAGTTACCCCACGGTGAGCATCTCGGCTTCTCGGGATAGCTGCTGATATCATGGAGGTGTTCAAGGAGGCAGGTGCTGGGAACCTGCTCCATCAGCTGTTTCAACAAGGGCTCTCCAGACTCCTCAGCACCGTGGTGCTGAGCCTGTCTGACGGGAGCAGCACTGCGGCAGGCGAGATGTGCTCGAGCTACTCCCTTGCCCTCCGCAGCTACCTACGTTGGGCTGTTTCGCTGCCTCCGTTGAAGTTTTGCCCTTTGCTGCTGCCTTAGGCTGCCTGGCAGTTTATTGATGGGAAGAAGAGAGGACTGGATAATTTTGGAGATAGAATTTGAGGTGCATTCGGGTGTCAGGGTGAACTGCACGTGTACATCTGAGAGCAGAACTGGCTCCGGCTGTCCCTTAGCCTAGGTGGTGGGTGACTTGGGCATCCTTCATTCACTTGTGCCCCTGAACACAAGTCTTGTGTTCTCTAAGATGCCAAAGCTGCTGCTTTGATTTCCTTCTTGGAGATTGCTGCAGGACAGTGAGCCGTGATTTCCCTGTCTCCCATTTGGTGGCTAATTTCGAAATTGTGACTCTTTGCAGTTAGGCTTATGGATGACGGTCCCCACTTGAAAGAAATAGCTATTGATTGAAATTTTCACAGCAGCATTGGATCAGCAATGTTACAGCACACTGACTGGCAGTTCAACAAACTGAACGAGATTAAATTAAGGGGCAGCGACAGGGCAAGTAAAAGGCTGGTGTCTCGTTCGGAACAGAAGAGGAAAATGCTGTAATGCAGATGGCCACGCTCCCACCTTGGTGGTGTTCCTAACCGTCACGTGCGAATGGCTGTTCCTGTCAACTCCAGCTGTTCTTCTAGCTTGGTGGGAGAAAAGAGCATTATTTGAGCAAGCTGAGATGCTTTTTTGTGGATAACTTCACTTTGGGATAGTGACTTAAGGAATTACCTGGATTAGCCCTCATGCACAGGCTTCCCTGTACCCCTTTTCTCTTCTCCTCTCCGTTGGATGAGTTGTGGGAAGCAGCACTGAGCGTCTCTGCCACCAGAAGGAAATAAATAAAAAACCCTCCAAAGCTGTGCGTTGAGATGTGGGTGTGAAGAGGAGTGTGGGGACTTCCGACCCTAGTGCTCCGGTGGCTTATCCCTGCTTGCCAGGTATCTGCAGGTCTGTCTCCCTTGGGACCGGTGTGTCATCCCATGCTCGTCCAGTGAATCCTGTGTCTGTCTGATGTTCTTTTCCACGCTTTCCCAGCTGCCAGGCAGCCCTGTTAGAGCATCCTCGAGATCCAGCAAGGGGAGGGTTTGCCTTTTTCGTGGGCGGAAAAGACTGGAGGAATAGGTCAACATGAAGGAGCTGCTGCAGCTTAGCTGGGGGCTGATGGGACCTGCTGAAAAAGGTGGCTGTTCTCCTCCTTGCTGCTGCTGTCATCTCCTTTTCCTGTTTCCTTAAGCGTCTGATTTTTGCCATATTGACAAGCGTAAAAGAGTTGTATTGATCGATGGAAGTGTTTGCTCTCCCTGCGGAGAGGAAAAAGCATCTTTCTTTGATCATTCCCTACTTGTTCTTTGCGCTCTGTCTTCTCAAGGATCTTTTACTTGGCTACTGCGAATGACGTCCCTCGGCATCACGGAAGGCAGCTGCATATCACGCCTGTGTGATCAGGAAAGAAAAGACAGGCCTAGGGTGTAATTTTTGTTAACCAGTGGCAGCTTTCTTCTGCCTGCATAACCACCGTGCTGGGTCTGTTACGTGCTACCGCAGGGAGGCAAACGGTGGTTTCCCGGTGCCTTGGAATGAGGGAGGAGAGAGAGAAAACCTTTCTTGGGACTACTTCTTCTAGGGATGGTGCTCTGGTTCCTAATTTGGGGTCCTGTGTCCTTTGACCTGATCCTTGACCTCCCTAATCCAGAGCCCTGTGCTCCTGACGGAGCTCGCTGCCGCCTGCTTTCCAGCAGCGGCCGTACAGCCAGACGGGTTGTGGTCCTCAGGAGAGTGCCCGGCGAGCAGATCCCCTTCCCCGTTCCCGGGGATGAGCTGCCATCGGATTCAACTGGAGCCGGCATTGCAGAAGAGACAAGGTTTTATTTATTTAAACAGTTACAGCTTTTTTTTTTTTAATCTTCTCACTGGGATTCACTGGAGAAAATCAACTGATTTTTCAGGCAGTGTATAAAGGCTCTTGGTCAAACTTGGTGTAAGCAAGGAGAGGATGCACAGTTCCCATTCACATACTTGCGTCTCTCCTCATTAGTGCAGGATTTGTTTCATTGCTTAATTTCATTGCTTATTATCTCAAGCTTTTGACGACATTCCCTTTATTAAAGAAACAGCCATATGGAGAGACAGCAAAACATGGAGATAAACGTAAAACCAGTGCCGATAAAGGGATGCTGCTTTAGCGATTCTGTTTCTTCTTCTGGCTGATCGGCGATTTTGTTGTTATCTGAGCAAATTGTGCAGGCTGCGGGGAGGGAAGGCTTTGAAATGTTGGCATTGTTCGTAGCTCTCTCCAGCTGCTCTCACTGAAGTCAGAGCAGACTTGAACTGGCAGGAGGGTGGGTTTTAAATCTACTGTAAATTCCTGCCCCCCCCTCCCCCCCGCCTCCCCCAAGCATCGGAATAATTAGCCAGCCCGTCAGTGTTTGCTCGTAGCGAGACCCAGGCAGACAGTGCCATGCCCTTCAAATGATATCTGCAATGCTATTTAGAAATGAGTGTTAAATTAACTTTCCAGGGTATGGGCAGCATTGGCCCGGAATATGTGGTCTCTTCCAAGGTGAGCAGAGCTTTTGAAGATAAGGTGCATAGGCTTAACTCTTTCCAGAGCTGTTCCACCAGAGCTTCATGGTGCTCTGAAAGCTCACCTTTAGACTTAAACTATTGGTTTGGTTTTTAAAGGCTGTGTTTTGCTAATACAGCAGTACCAGTTTGCTGACTTCCACCCAGTTTGGTCTTGTCAGAGCTGGACCATGCCTGGAAAGTCATGAACAGGAGTCAGGGCCAGGAGCGTCCAGTCTTGTGCTGGTGACCAGTTGGATGAAAACCTGAGGAAGGTGGAAGGCTGTGTCCCTCCCAGTGTCGCACAGCCTTAGGTCCAGGGCATGTGGCCCTTAAAAAGAGGAGCAGAGGTTTGGAGGAGACCTTGGAAAAGGTGCCTGGAACCTGGCCCCAGGGAACAGTTTGAGGGTTTTTTTTTATCAAGTCAGGTATCTTATATGAGTTCATGCCCTTTCAAAATTGCTGTATTTTAGTAATTGAAAAAAATGTTATTCTGCTCGTCTAGGGAAACTAAGCTCGTCGTCTTGTACTGCACCCATTGCCCAACTGAATTAAAGAAGGGTAGAAGTCTTCAAGGCAATCATGTTCCTCCAAGCAAGAGTGACTCAGTGGAGTGCTTTTCCCAAAGGAAAAGCCGGAGGAGTTTGGTTATTAAATGTTGTGCATGGCCGCAGCCGGCCGAGCCGTGCCCATGCCCTGGCTGGTGAACCCCCATGCGCAGAGCGGTGGCACTGGTGTCCCCAGCCCAGCGGGGAGGGCAGATGGGAGCTGGAGGGGTGAGCTGTGGACAGGGGACGCAGATGAAGACAAGCTTCGTTAGCTCACTCAGCAGTCTGCTATTAGCTGAACCAAGTGTGACAAATTAGGCTCCATTGTCAGTGGCACATGTTAATTTTTTTTTTTTTTTTACTGGCTTTAGAGGCTGTGCCTCTTCATTTCATAAAACATCCCCTTGATGATGCTCTGGGGCAGAGGCTGAACCAAGGCGGTCCCCACACTTTTGCCGAGGAGATGCTGGTGCTGAGGTGGCAGGAGGAGGCTGGTTGTTGGTGGGAGCATCTAGCCAGCCTCACGCTCTGATCTCCACCTCCTCCGGGGCGCGGGTGCTTTTGAGCTGTTTTCTGCCACTGGCAGTTTGTGCGGATAAAGAGTAGCTTTGAAATGAAGAACACAGGGTCTCCCACCTCGGGACTGCTAAAAACACCTGGGACAAGGCTCTGTGCACAACTGATGGAGGATGGGGTTTTATTTCCCCTTCACGTGCAACCTCGGTGAGGAGCGATGGGTCAGCCTGACAAGGTGTGAGTGCTCTCTCACTGGAGCCACGGCTTGGTAAAGTAGAGCTGCATTTTTAATATTGAGTTCTGCTTCCTCTTTCACTTGTGCAAGGCCAGAATGACCAGACCGCTTTAATTAGCTAGCTTTAAGTAGCTTCAAGAGAACTGAGCGTGGTGGCTCCTCAGTCGCCCCTCAGGGCAGCCACCCATCCAGCTCTCAGACGCACGCTGGTGTCCCTTATAACCAAATTTTGGCAGCTCTTATTCACAATGGAAATCTGTCCTGGGAGAAGCTAATGAGCTCAGCATTGAACTTCTCGATTAAGTGATTGATCCCTACCCTTGCCTAGCACTCAGGGACGCTGATGTCCAATAGTGCAAGCTCCTACAGGGACAAAAATAGCCACCGTCTTTGTCTATCCAGCGCAGACAGCTATTGCATCATTTTTCAGAGCGTTCAGGGATAAGCAAGTAGCAGGGATGTTATCAGAAGTTAGATCTTGGTCTCTAAAGTGCTGGAGTTTTTTAGCATGGCTCCAAGAGATTTCTCGTCTCCGGGACACGGCCTGGATGGGGTGTAGGCGGAAGCTGACCTAGAAACCTGAGTGAGTCTGGCCCGGCGGAGCCTTTTGGTCCTGGCAGGTCTCCCGTTCAGTGCTGCCCCTTGGACCCACACCAAATGCTAACTGAAGGAACGAGGACGCGATGCAAATGGCGCTCCTCCGGAGTGGGCTGTTGGCCTGGCAGGGCATGGCGGGTCTGTGCTGGGTCACCCTGGGAAATTCAAAGTCTGGCTCCATCAAGACAACCTATCATTTTTCCTCAGTCGTGTTTTCTTGGGTACAATTTCCCGCCTGGTTTGTTGCCAGCCTTTGATAAATGAGCTTTGTCAGATAGCAGACTTGCAGCTTCACCTCTGGAGCAGAGCTATCAGGTCTCCTTTTCAAGCGAGCTACCCTGCGTCAGCACGAATCAGAGGAAAAGTTGTACATTAATGTGAATGAAAACCTCGCACCCGCCGGCTCGGTACGAACACGTCGGGTAGCCCTTGGCTGATGGCAGCCCAGTGGGTGCCTCTGAGGCTGGTGATCAGCTACGCACGGGATGCAGGGACAGCAGAAGAGGGTGGGGGGGGATCCTATGTGGTGAGTGAGGTCAGTCTTCTCTTGTCTATCTGCCTGGGGTTGCGTGCATCACTGGCCTTTGAGAGGAAAGTGAATTTGGTGCTGATTTTTTGATGGTTTCAGGAGTTTCAATGACTGCAGTCTCTCTGGGTAAGCAGGTAGAGCTCTGCTGACAGTTTTTCCTTTGTTTGCCATCTTCCAGTCTAGCTGGATGCCCTGAGTTCAGCCTGGTTTTCAAGCACTGCAGCTCCTCCGCAAGCAAGGAGTGTCAGGGGTGCAGAAAACAAAGCAATAATTAGCCAGACCTCAAAGGGAATATAAGAATATTCCCTAACAGAGTATAAGGTCCCAAACCAGAGGAGTGGAGAGTAGGTTGCAGGTAGTAATGAATGCGGAAGGTGTAAGAGAGGAAAAGAGCCTAGCCTGGTCCTCATGGAGAAGCAGAGCCCCTGTGTTTACCCTGTGCCGACTACCTTCCTCCATCCCGGTCTCATCTTGCTTTTTTTAAGACTTTCTCGTGCAGCTCTAGAGGACAAATGAAATGGAACTGAGTTTATTAATTTTGCCAGCGCCTGGAATAGTTTTGTTGCCTTTGGCGTGCTCCATCCCGGGATGCAGGCGTGCAGCCCTGACCCGCTCTCCACGCAGGGCGCAGTCAGCCTAAGGAGTTATCGTAGCTGGGGCACCTGCACACGCCGCTGGGACCCTGAATGCTCAGCAAGTTATTGCTTCCCTGGCCTCCAGCTAGTCTCACCCTCGTTAGCAGAGGTTGTTTTGGGGGGTAAAATGCTTTCCATGACTTTGAAGTGCTGCTTGGTTTTCTGATGCTCTTCTCCCCTGGGCTGGCTGGTGTCCTGTTAGAGCTCAGTGCTGCCAGCCTGACGAAGAACTTCACCTGGATCAGGCACTTGCTTGTATCCTGTCAGGCCTCCAAGCACATCGTTGCTTTCTATTAAAAAAAGGAAAAAACCTCTTCTCTTACAATATTGCAGTGTTCTGGGTGAGTAGTGCCTGCTGTCCCAAACACAGCACTGAACTGTGGGGTGCAGGTACCACCACCACCGTGATGGACGCTTCGAAGCCGTACATCTACATCGCCGTGCACTTTGTGCTGGCCAGGGAGCACTGCGTGCATTTCTCTTTGTCTGCCGCAAGGTTGCTCCCTGTGAATGTGGTTTTAGATGGACCGAGGGTCCAGCACCCTTATTGCCCCATCCGTAGAGGGAGGTCCATGAGAAACCAGAGGAGGAGAGTGCTTGGGAAGCCCGGGCCGTGCCCACAGGGAAGACGTCTTGCAGTTTTCTTTCTATTTATTTCCTTACTGCCCTGCTGTAAACATTTATAGCTGAACTTTCCAAAGCCGAGGACAGTGGGGCACCTTGCTGCAGCTGATGATCAGTGGGAACCGAACGCTTCAGTCCTTCAGGGGCTGTTGAGGAGCACTGCCCTACACTTGAGAAAGACGACTTTGGTGTTGGGGTTTTGATCAATTGGTTTTGCAGCGTTGTTCTTCAGGCTCCCAGCAGTATCCCCAAGCCATTTGGCTGCCGCGGTGGGATTTGAGCAGTCCTGGCTTCCTCTGGCCTTGAGCCTTCATGCAAACCTGGCCACCGTTGTCGGGAAGCCAGGAGAGAAAAAGTAGCTTCCCTTGGTGCGCACTCCAAAAGAGAGAGTGGAGGGGGAATAGCCTTCTCCTAAGGATGAACATCCCTTGGGTTGGGCAGAACTGGGTTAATGAAGTGGGTCTGTTGAAGGAGGGTAAAATACAGGTTGTATAAGCTCCTGCGTAGTTGCTGTTGCTGACAGCCGGCTGAACATGAGCCGGCAGTGTGCCCAGGTGGCCAAGGAGGCCAACGGCATCCTGGCCTGTATCAGAACTAGTGTGGCCAGCAGGAGTAGGGAGGTGATCGTGCCCCTGTAACTCGGCCCTGGTGAGGCCGCACCTCGAATCCTGTGTTCAGTTTTGGGCCCCTCACTCCAAGAAGGACATTGAGGGGCTGGAGCGTGTCCAGAGAAGGGCAACGACGCTGGTGAAGGGCCTGGAGCACAAGTCTGATGAGGAGCGGCTGAGGGAACTGGGGCTGTTTAGCCTGGAGAAGAGGAGGCTGAGGGGAGACCTCATCGCGCTCTACAACTCCCTGAAAGGAGGTTGTAGCGAGGTGGGGGTCGGGCTCTTCTCCCAAGTAACCAGCGACAGGACGAGAGGAAATGGCCTCACGCTGCACCAGGGGAGGTTTAGACTGGACATTAGGAAAAATTTCTTCACTGAAAGAGTGGTCAGGCCTTGGAACAGGCTGCCCAGGGAAGTGGTGGAGTCCCCATCCCTGGAGGTATTTAAAAGACGTGTAGATGAGGCGCTTAGGGACATGGTTTAGTGGGCATGGTGGGGTTGGGTTGACGGTTGGACTTGATGATCTTAGAGGTCTTTTCCAACCTTAATGATTCTATGATTCCAGACACTGTAGCTTAGATTTAGGAAAATTAAGCCTCTATGTTTTTTACCCTCATGTCTTTAGTCCTTCCTTTTCCTGCACCCCACAAGAGACCACGGTCTGTGGTTTCCATCCTAAGTTACTGTTTGCTTTGTCTTACAGGCTGACAAATGCTCGCGCTGGAGGATTGAACCCAGTAAAGGAGTGATCCCGCCTGAGACCGAGGTGTCTGTGACTGTCATAGCAAACTTGGACGACACTGAGAAATTCAAGGACGAGGTGAACCTGTTCATAGAGAACAGCCATACCTCCGTCATCCCTGTCCGGGCTGTCGGCGTCGGCACCACGATCGTCACTGACAAACCCTTTGCTCCGGAGCTCAACTTGGGACCCCACTTCAGGTAGGGGGTATCTCTCAGCTCCCACTTTTCCCGTGGGCTCAGCAAGGAGGAGTTCTGCTGTAGTCCTTCAGGCTAGTTCTCCTTCAGTGCTCAAGGTCCTGGCTCTGTTGCACTGAAGCCACAGGAATTCCTTTAGAAACATTTTATGGCCATTTGAAAGTCGTTAGATACCCTCAAAAGCCACCAAAATGGAAACCAGTTGCTTAATTGTCACTGAATTGCCCTTAGTTACAATACAGTTATTTCCTCACTTCATCAAATAAAGATATGGAGGAAAACAGCAGGCTGCAAAACGCTGCATTACAAGTATGAACTATTTCCCTCTGCAATAACATTGCTTGCTTTTCCCCTCACTATGGAGTATCATCTCGCAACAGCGGAAAACCTTGGCGGTAGCTTGTTAGCAACTCCTCGACAAAATTAATGGTGCTGTTTTATTTCCCCTCTGCCCTGGAGTCCTGGAGGAGCAGCAGAATTTCTTTGCCCTGTCTCGTTCCTCAGTTCACTTGTCTTCCCCGTTTTCCCTGCCGGGCTGCTCTTTATGAGATGTACTCACTCTTTCCTCGTTTCTCCTGCCCGCTTTCCTCGCCGTCTCCTCCGTCAATGCCGCAGCAGCATCCCGAGGCACGGGCAAGCTAGGGTGGCTGTGGGAACAGCTCTGGAAGGGAGAGGAGGAGAAGTCTGCTTGAGGTTGGGCAGGATGAATTGAGAGTGTTAATTGAAAGAGCTTAGCTCAGAGGAGGGGATTAACTGATCCTAATGCGGGTGTCTCAAACCAGGCATGTTCTTAAAAATGGGAGAAAAATAAGCCTTTTCAAAGTGCTGTTTGCCTTGCATTGGAGACCTCTTGGGACGAGAAGAATAGTCTTCTCGAGGTGCCTGTTCCTTTCCCTGGCTGCAAAGAGGGTCCACAGTCCTCCGATACCTAAATTTTGGAGTAGAAAGAGCAGATTAATCCTACCTTAAGCATTTAGGATAGATTTTGGGGGTTTAAATATGCACCCACAAGCCATCCACCTAAGCAGGGACATGGTAGGGAGGTTGGTGCTTGTCCAGTGTTTCCTGTGCTCTGTGCAGCCACAAGTCAGCTACACAGCGCAGGGGACAACATCAGCGTGGTTCATGTCATCGTCCTCTGCCCCCCTTCACGTCCTCGCCTGCAGGCTGTTTGGAGTTGTGGCCATTGCTGTCGGCTGCAGAGCTGCTGCCGGGTGAGCTGAGGTGGGACCCAGGGGACATCTCAGATGAGTTGGGCTTTCCCAGAGCCACAAATTCTGCATCTGCCCAGAGCTGCTCCAAGGTTTCGGCTGTTGCTGTCCGCAACATAAACCATTTCGTACTAAACTTGTGTACGTCATTTTTTAGCAGTCTGTTTCAAGGACTAGTTTGTTCTATACTGTCACTTCTGTAGTTAGCTGCTTACAGCACACATGCATTTTGTAAGCCGCATGTTCTGTACCTTTCAAAAAGACAATAACTCTTCCAGGAACAATTCATTTCCTGATCACGCTCAGATTTATAGAGGGTAAAATAATTGCTCCAGACTAGCCTGCAGTTAGTGTTTCTTTACATGAAGGAATCAATTTCCATTGAATATTCATTTTGGTTTATACCTAGCTCTAGTTATTAATCTCTTCTTGTTGCTCCATTCCCTCAGCAGCTAGACCCGATCTTGCTGCCGTGTTCATAGCAGGGAAACTTCTGTTGATCCTACGTTCTCAATGCATTTATCTTCCTAAAACACACAACCAGCTGCACTGTTCAGGCAAAGGGTGATATGCTGGGGGCGATGAGGGTTGTTGGATGCTCCCTAAGGGATGGGGGGATGAAGGGGATAACATGGGTGCCAGGGCAGGGGCACCACCAGCGAGGCAAGTGGTGCCCAGATCACCAGATAAGTTTATACCCTGCGGCTCCCCAGTAGCATCTTCAGAGTAAAGCCATCTGAGGCAGCAGCTCCCAAGGGGAAGGTGAAACGGCAGCGAAGCTGTTCCTCCATCCATTCGCAGCCGGGACAGGCCAGCTCAGCGTCTGACGCAGTGAGACCTGCAGGAAGCACCTTGGAAAAATGCTCTGATTATTGAGCGCCAAAGGCTGGTGATGCTCTGTCTGCAGCAACTCAGATGATGTTTGTATTGGGTCTGGCCGAGACGGAGTTAATTTTCCCCGTAGCAGCCCTCATGGTGCTGTACTTCACGTTGGTAGCTAGAAAGGTGTTGATAACACACCAGGGTTTTGGCCCCTGCTGAGCAGAGGCTGTCTCTCCCACATTGCCCCCTCACCAGTAGGCTGGGGGTGGGCAAGATCTTGGGAGGGGACACAGCCGGGACAGCTGACCCAATCTGACCAAAGGGATATCCCATCCCATGTGGCGTCTGCTCAGCAAGAAAAGCTAAGAGAAAGGAGGAGGCGGCTGGGGCATTCGTTATTGTGACATTTGTCTTCTGGAGCAACCGCTATGTGTACTGAAGCCCTACTTCCCGGGAAGTAGAGAATAATCTTCTGCTTTCCTCTGCTTCCACGTGCATCCTTTTGCTTTATTAAACTGCCTTTATCTTGGCCCACAGGGTTTTTTCCATCTTATTTTCTCCCCTCCCTCCTGTCATGCTGAGGCAGGGAGCGATAGAGCGGCTTGGTGGGCACCTGGCATCCAGCCAAGGTCAACCCACCACAATGTTCTTCATGAAGTTTTTCCTTGCTGTATGCAAACAGACCAGCTGCTGGATGGTGATAAACTTAAGGGCAACCAAGGTCTGGCTCTTGCTGTAGCTTTGAGCTAGGTCAGCCTTTTTGGAGGTGGTTTTATTGCTGAGTGTGCAGTCAGGTAACGCCATCAGGGTGCTGAAGCTGGGTGACGGCTGGGAGATGGCAGCTCCCATGATATTTTCCATCTCTGCTTCTCTTCTAGCCTGGATCCTTGCTGTTACCACTTCAAGATAACGAACAAAGGACGGCGCACCCATCAGCTCTATTGGACAACGGAAGGTTTTGCCCCATTTCGCCAGCGTGATCATCTCCCTGCCATCAGTAACACCAAGGGCAAAGATTCCTCCCAGAACCCCAAACCTGCCTGCCCTGTGTTTAAGCTTCGACCGCTGAGGATGGAGCTGATGCCGGGCAAGACTATGGAGATGGTGCTGGAAGGTTCCTCCAGCACTCCACAGGTGAGGTCCCCCACGAGGGCTGAGCCTTTCCCATCAGATCACTTTAATGGGACTTCTTTTGCAGCCCCTTGACATTTGCCTCAGAAAACGAGCAAGAGCTTTCAAGAAACTGTTTTAACGCCACAAGTTGCCATGGCAGCACCAGTTGCTTTCCTTGCTGGCCACCATCCGTTGCTAAGGCTTTTTCGTGTTTCTATAGCTACCATAAGCCCGACTTGCTGATACCAAAATACGGGCTGAAGGAAGTGTTGCTACTTCAGGGGCAAACGGCAGGTTACGAGGTGTCATGTGCTGGGGCAGAAAGGAAGGGCAGAGAAAATAAGTTACGCTTAGCCTAGGAGCACAGGCAGAAAGTAAATAAAAAAAATGCAAAGTAATATATCTGGGGGAAGCAGTGAGTAAAATAAGACGCCTGTGAAGGGGGGGAGTGTCTGGGAGCAGCATCATTCTTCCTCTGTAGACAAACATGGGCAGAGGGCTTGTCTAGTACCGAGTCCTGGAGGAGAAAAATGAACGCAGTGTGTCAGCTCTAATGATCCGGGTGACGTTCTCCATGCGGGAAACTGTTCCCGGGGATCATTATAATTGACAGCTTGACTTTTGTCAATATTTCCATAACAGCTCGCCCCAGGCTCTCAGCCAGCCCCGGTGTCCCAAGGGCAGCCAGGTCTTGCAGCACCCTTGGATGGCAGCTCAGAGGGGGAGATTTCAGCAGGGTCACTGGGTGTTCTCCTCCCTGGACCCTTCTTCCCAGGGGAAATCCAACTCTGCAGAGAAGCTGCCAGCTAACCCTGGTGTGTATTCCCTGGCGCCAGGACTGCTGGGCGCGGATGTTTAAGCAAACATGGAATAAATCTGCATTAAGCTCCTGCTGATACTAGTGCTTTGAAAGGTGTTTTAAAGGGTTGCCTTAGTGATAGCTTGAGGAAGGCTTGATTACTCACCTGCGATGGGACTGTCCCTGTGCGGTTCTGAGCCCAAAGGTTTTGCTGAAGAGGGAAAAAGGTACCAGAAAGGAAATCAAGTGATCAGGGCACTGGTGAAGGTGTCTTGCCTGGAAAGCCGAAAGGGGAGCTGTGGCTCCCTGGCTCCTGCAGTCACAGCCAAGACCCTGGAGCGGGCTTGCCACCTTCCTTGGCTCTTGAGAACTTAATACTCTTCAGGTTGACCAGAAGCCCAACTCCCCGCAGTGCACGTGCAACACAGATGATTTTGAAGGCTGTAGGCTCTGAGGAGGAGTTGGTTTTTGGTGTTGTACCGGAGGGAAGAGTGAGAAATGAAGGGAGGAATTTGGGGAAGTGAAACCATGAGAAATCAGGAAAAAGCCTTGAATGTAAGAGCATCCAGCTTAAGCAGAGGGTTTTCAAGTGAAGTGCAAGACATCTCTTTCCTGGGGAGATTTCTTTTAAGACCAGCTCTAGGAGGGCACAGTACATCCTAGGAATGAGTGATGCCCTCTTTCTATTTGGGCTTTTCCCGTGGCTCCTTTCCACTAAGCTGCCAAGGGAGGTTTTGCTGGCATTGGCCTTTCTATCACCTGTTTCCCTTAATATAGTTATATACTTTTATAATCAGTTCCCACAGCTTCCCGTAAGCATTATGCTTAGCAATGGGGCACATCGAAACATTAATCATTTGGGGCAGTAATTATTATAATTGTAGACAGCACATGACTGAAAGTGCCTTTTGTGGATGTTAGGGTGTAGTGGTCTGGACATTTGAGTGCAGAAGAAATAGGATGCAGCCTAAAAAGAAAGGGGGCTACTGAAGAGAGCAGTGACTGTAACTTTACAGCAGCAATACCTGCTGATGGTTGATGGCCAAGATCCCATGGCACGATTTCTATCCAGGCTATCAAAATCCTTTATGTCCACGGTCAGGCGGCTAGCAAATGCGGAGTGTTTTCTGGATGCCCTGCTAGCAGCCGCTGGGTGACAAGCGACTCTTGCACGCAGGTAGTGAAGGAGCGGCTGCTGTGTCATGCCATCGTGGGGAGCAAGGCAGGGAAGGCACAGATAATGCAAGTGGATATCACGTGCGAGTTCGTTGCTCCCGTTCTGCAAATGTCCTCCAGAGAAATCATTTTCCGGGTGGAGAAGGTAAGTCTCTGGATTGCATCCTGGCATTTAATAGCGTGGCTGATGACTGAAAGCCCACGGGGAGTGTGTGCTTGTGTTCAAAGGAGGAAGTTAAGCAGCTTCTCCAAGTCCATGGGGCGTTGGCTATTGATTTGAGCAGGACCAAGCTTTTGCCGTTAACACTGAGATCATTATTTCACTCCTCTGGGGTTGGGGACAAGTCCCACCAGCTCTGTTCTGCCTTTCTTCACGTGGAGGCAGAATTGAGCCAAGGGCACAGGGTGAGAGAGATGCGTGGGACCCACGAGAGCAGCGTGGGCTTTGCACAGCCACCTCGTGCGCCAGGACTGCAGGTGGGAGAGCATCGCGGCAGCTGAGCGATGCTAAACCCCCTCCTCAGCCTTCCTGAGGCGCTTTGTAAAGTAAGTGAGGATGTTTTTAGAGATGGGACTGGTTTTTAACTTCACCGAAGCAAAACTGATATTACAGCTGCTCCGCTGAGGGGGATCATGGCCACTTCTAGAGAGATACCAGTTTCTGTACTCAGTATAAAGGGAGGTTTTTGAGGATCCTCCAAGGCACGGTGAAGTCTGAACACCAATCCTGTAGGGAAGCTGAGAAAAACGGAGATTGCTGTCAGCTCCTCAGCCTGATGAGAAAAAAACATTATCTCTTGTCTCTCTTTGCCTTCTCTGCTGTTGGTATGGATGCTAGCTCTTTGCATTTCCCCAAGCCTTACCTCCTTCAAAGGACCCGCAGACGTCCTTCAGCTGCTGTAATGATAACACCAACGCAAAGCAGGTGCCCTTTAGTCTCTGGATCCTGACTTCTGCATCATCTTTCCCTCTCCTGTGAGGTGTCTGAAGAAGAGAAGATATTTCATTATTTAGTTTCTATGTTTTCAGGTCTCTCCTCCAGTTCCCAGGCATCCAGAGAAGCACAAAATCCTGTGAGCAGGCAGTTCAGATTTAATTAGAAGCTTTTCAGCTACCCCTGATGTCTGCCTGTGGTCTACTTGATGCCACGCGCTCCGATTTATCGAGTGCTACGACACTGCAGCTGTTTGATATCAATACACCCAGAACTAGTTTCCCAAACACTGTCTAGTTTATATAAACCATGCAGGAAGCCCAGAGCAATGCATAAACAAGAAGAAATAGCTTAGGCTGAGCTTAGCTTTGAGCCTACAGGCACCTCGTCGCTGTAGCAGGGACAGCAGGAGACACATTGCAGCCGGACTGTTGAGGTTTCTAACTGGCTGTAAATGTCCAAAGCTAGCCTTAGGCTACTGCAGGCTCTCCTCTATGGGCCAAATCCTGCTTGCTTTTCTCCTCTGACTAGCGTCACTGCTTGTGAGGCTACTAGAGCTGATAAGGTTGTAAGAAATTACTGTATGTGAGTGAAAATCATCTTGTGCCATTCTGCCTAAGAGAGGATACAAAATTGGAGACAAATGGTCTGGGTTCACTTTCTAGTTTTGATCTTGCTCAAGCAGCTGCCGCCCCTCGGGGTCCTGTTTCCTCATCTCTACTGAGACGGTTTCCCTGTCCCCCGGGGGATGCTGTGGTTTCTAAACATGAAAAGCATCTGATATACTTAAAGGAAAAACCTCCTAAAAGGGTAGAAACTAATAAAAATAGAGATGTATGCACTTTTGGGGTTGAAAAATGCGAAATGCATCGGAAGGGGAAGGAGGTCCATGGCCACGTCAGGTTGGTTTTTTCCCCTTGTCTCCTGTTTCTGTAGCAACCCAGTGATGTCCTCACTCTTCAGCACAAGCCTCTTTCTTTAAAAAACATCTCCTCCCTGCCACTCAGCGTTGTCCTGGCCTTAGAGCAACCCTTCTTAGTCTGCGATGCGGACCGGCAGCCCCTGCCCGCAGACGTTCAGGTGAGCAGCCGTGGACCTTCCTGCTGGTGGGGTTTGAAGAGGGAGGAGTGTGGTGGTGCGTTTCTGTGGGAAGTCCTCTAGTAGATAAGTTTATTCTTTAGAGTCAGCAATAGACTGGCCTGAACTAAATCAGCTTCAAAACGAGTTGCTAAAGGAAATGAAATATCATCTGAATTGGGGAAATACGTCCTGGCTCGAAGACATGAGGAGGGGGGAGCAGGCAACTAGGTCTGGGCAAGCCATGTAGTGAAGGTGTCTCTTGGGAACCATCCCAGCTCTCCGGCAGCCATCCTCAGATAATCTCAGGAGCAGCTTGCGCCCTTCAAGGGCTTTCAGGGAGGCTGAGGATGCTCCTCCAGCCGCTGCCTGGCACCTGCCCCGTTGTCGGTGGAAGGCGTTGGATATGGACTCTGCTAAACCTGTTGTAGGCACGGCCACCGCTTCCGTGCCATTCCGGTGACTGGCACCTGCAAGGGTGAGGCTGCAATGCCGTTGCACTCGTGCTGTGAGGATAAAGGAGTTCCTCTGGAGTCAGGGCAAAAGGCCTTGGCTTGCCAGAGTGCTGATTTGGTTATGTATTTAGCATATAGCTTTTGTGGGTCAGAATTGATTAGCGCAATATTTATTTCCCTCTTGTATCGATGCAGAGCACAGGCATGTGAGCCTGAGACAGTCTGAGACAAGAGTGTTGTGGTGCTTGTGGTCAGGTGGACGCTGTAAGGAAAATGAAGGACGAACTGAGAAGGCCACGTTGGGGTCACACTTTGAATATTTACACGTTTCATGCTGTCAGACCTTGGGACTTCATCACACTGGTGGTTAATACTCTTCATCTCCTTGCAGCCCATGAAGCTGGAGATAGGGGAGGAACTTCATCTCTCCATCAGATTTAACCCTGCTTACGAAGAGGATTTGAATATCTGGGTAGCAGAGAAGGCTCTGAAGATACAGTTTCTCGAGCATCCTCATGAGGAGCAGGTCACCGTTCGGGGAGAGGTTTACTTTCCGAATCTCCGTATCCAGACCATGGCCCTGGACTTTGGCTGCATCTTGAATGACACTGAAGATGTGCGTTCCATCGAGATGACCAACTGCAGCCCCCTTCTTGCGCAGTACCACTGGTCGTTCCTGACAGACAGCCGCACGCACCAGATGAGGTATGTGCACCTTTGCCCTCTCCTTAAAGCTCTTCTCCTTCCTGGTGTCCTGTTTATACTTTGCAAAGACCGAGGCTGTTTGCCTGGGATCTGACAAATTGCTTTCAACTTTCCCTTGTGGAAATAACACCTACCAGCCGTGGTCAGGCTAGATGCTCAGGGAATAGGTGATCTCCACCAGTTTGACGCTGGGAAGGAAGCAACGTTCTCCAGCCAAGCTGGGACTGTAAGACACTACCAACAGTTTTTGCGTAGCCCATAACCTGCAATCCTGCTTTATCTCTGGAGCTACAAAGCCATGCTTAGGCACTTGGACAAGCAGATATATAACGTGACCTCTTGTCCTTCCCTGCCAACCCTATTTGTTGTCATCTCATACTAAGAACCTACACAGGCACTGCCGCCAGAACGGTGTGCTGCTGTCCCAGTCTCTTGCTGTTGCTTCGCTATAGCCCCCGTACTGGTTCCCCTGGGAAGGAAAGGTGGTGCGGAAAGCTGCTTTCTCAGACCTTCGTGGCCTGAGGCAAACACCACCTTGGTGAAGTGAGTTTTCATCTGTTAAACTGCACGTCACATGCACGGAACAGCTATTTAGTGTTTTACAGCGAAAGGGCAGGTTCTGCTGCTGCTGTGGGTACAGCTGTAGGTGTTGGTGGGAGGACTTGTCTGAACATCCCCGGGGAGTAGGGCCATCCAGCGCTGGTCTGTGGTTTCCAAGCCCAAGAGCAATCTTGCAGTCATGCTGGAGCACATCAATAAACACATTTCTAGCAGTTCCTCCCTCTGTGGCCTCTCTGCATAGTACAAAAGTTTAGTCTGGGCAGTTTTAATTACAGTAGCAAATGGTTTTTCCATAATGCCCTAGGAAACCGAGCAAAGTTAACCATTGTGTATTGAAGTGCTGCTATTACAAATAATACAGATCATCAATAAACAGTTTTGTTTAGAGAATTGGGATCTGGCTGAGAGGAGACGACCTATCGGGAACTGGAAATTAGCTACGGCTATGAGGAGGTCTTGTTGGAGAAGATCTGGGCACTGGGGTAGCCCAGTCACAGCTGGGTCTTACAGAGGAAAAAGTCTTCAGGAGGGGCCCTTCTTGATGCACGGCACCTTCAGAACAGACCCTAAAATGCAGAGGAAAGTCTGCAAAAGCAGGTGAAGGGAGGTGGGCAGGGAAAGGGGAGCAGGGCTGTAAGCTCTGCTTGGAAGCCCCTGTCATCTCTTGGTAAACTAGATTAAGGTTTAATTACAAGCTAAAGGGAAAATCCAATTTTGATGATAGAAAAATGCGTATATTTTATAATAACAGAGAAACAAGCATATTACAGCGAAGCCTGTGTGGAATTAATTTCCTCGGGGGCCACTTGTTGGCCGGTTGCCTGTTTATCTCTACTCTTATTTTTTTTAGAACCAATTTAGGTTTTTTGGAAGTGTGGATGCTGAATCAGTTTTCAGCTTTCAATTACCCCATCTCCACCTAAATTGGCTTTGCTGGACCTGAGCCTGCAGGTGCTCGTCCTTCCAGCGGATGCCGAGTCACCCATCTCTGCTGAGTCGGTAGCAGTTGAGGGTCCTGAGCATCTGGCAGGAGATGGCAGCCTCTGCTCCAAAGGGTTTGGCGTAGCCCCTTTGCAGGCTCGTTAGCACTGTGGACGTTACGACAGCTCTCTTTGCTGCTCTGCATGTTAATTAAGCAGTAATGTACTCTCTCCGGGTCCCTCAGCAGACACCATGTGATCCTCGGTGGCAGAGCTGGAAATGAAGACAGTCTCCAAGCTATTAACACCTCAAATTGCTCATTAAGAGCCCGGCAGAAGGGCAGTGTGTCAGATATTATTTCTGGTCCACATTAAGCACTGTTGGTATTCTAAATTATCAGATCAAACTAGCTCAGTCTGACATCGAGGGAATCAAACATCAGGTCCTCATGAAGGTGAGATCAATAGAATTTAACCATCCATACTTCTAGCCTTGCTGGAGCCCATCATCAGAGACTCCCAGCATCAATCAGACACACACATTCATTTTGGCCAGGAGAGAAAAATGTTGTTTCTTTGCCTGGACAAGACTCTGTGTGCTTAGATCTTTTTTCTTCTAATTGTTCAACCCATTTTTCCCTCCTTATTCTTTGGTCACTGTGGCTACTTTGAGCAGAGCAATCACGTAAGTCACACAGTCCAACCGTTGCTGTGTGGTTGGACATGCCCAACTCAAGCCAACCCATGCCCCTTCTCTGACACTGCTGAGCCATAAATTTCTCGTGGTTACTCCTCATCTAGACCTGTGTGGTTAGAGACAGACTGAGAATAGTCTCTCCTCACCCCTTGGACCTTTGGTAGGTCAAAGCTGAGTTAAGCCTTTGCACCAAGAGGTTTTCTGCGGCGTTGGAATGGATCTCCAGAATCATCCAGCAGATGATAGTAGATATGGAGCCAAACTGAAACATTTCATCATGTTTCTTACCTTAAAGGTTTCTTCGGTGAGGATTGGTTTGCCCTCCTTTTGAAGGGCAGTATCCAGCTCCTCAGCTTTGTTTGGGATTCCCATCAAAAGGAAGACATTAAATCCAAAGGATATACACGGATTTTCTTAGAGACCTGTGACAAAGGCTGCCAAAGACTCATCCCCAAACTTAGCTGTTCTCTAGAGTTTTCATCTTTTATCAGGGATGCATGCCTTGTCATTTACTGTGAGCGTTGCTGTTCCTGCATCACCTCTTTGTCCCCTTCGTGCGAGACGTGTTCCCTCCTTGGGATAGAGCTAACGCATGCCGAGCGGTCCGTGTGCCGGGATGGATCCGCAGGGAGCTGCGCACCTCCATGGCACATGTCACACCCCCTCTGTCTATTGATCTGACATCTCTGGAGAGTGGGAGCTTCTTGGCTACAAATCCAGCGTAATGAATTGCCAGTAGATTCTTTGGGGAAAGGGTTTGTTGAGCTAAACATGTAGAAAATGACTCTTTCCTCTCCATCCAGGATTTTCTAAGTCAATTTGTTTTGAACAAACCAGGAGCCTTTCTCCTCCCAAGTGGATCTTCCTATAGCATTAGTAATTTCTCTCTCTCTCTCTCCTTCCATGTCTCCTGGCAGGCTGCGCCGCAGGGACCCTGCGAGCCAGATCCCAGCCTTGTTACTGACAAAAAAAAAAAACCCCAATTCTGTGTTATATTTGATGGGTTTTTTGCTTTGTTGTTTTTATAACAAGGAAGAAATGGAAAATGCAGACAGCGAAAAACAGCGCAAGGCAAAAAGCTGACAGCAGTGCTCTGTCAGCCACCGGAGGGGAGAGGTAGCAACATCAGCAGTGAGAATACACATCAGAACTGCATACATCCACCGTGGCCCTGATGCTGGGCAGTCTCGGATGAGTGACGGTAGAGCGTACCCCTTCCTCAGCTCCCTGGGGCAATAGGTTTTGGGCTTTGGTAGCCCCATGGGTGCTACTTTTCCTGCTTAAATCCCGTGGGTGACTTAGAAAAGGAGGGAGTGATGGGAGCGTGCTGCTGAGCGCGTCCTTCGGCTGCCTGTGGTTTGGCAGCAGCAGAGAAGCGGTTTGGTCGGTGTAACAGAGAAGCGGCCTCTTATTTCTCGGAGATGGAGTCTCTTGGAGCAAGGGCTGGGTGCCGGGCAGGTTCACCTCTGGGGTGGCAGTCTGGCTGCCGTGAGTGGCTGGGGGGGGGGGGAGAGGCTCTACGTGTGGATGAGACACTGGGGAGCTGAAGCAAGGGAGACTTTGGGAAATTTGCCACCTGTTCCACCCAGGCAGGATGAAAAGTAAATACAGTGAGTGCCAAGGAGGGCTTTGGAGCCAGGACTAAGCGAGCATATGTTGTTACCAAGTCTATATTAGAGACGTAAGCCTGGATATTGTGTGTGGGTCGGTGATACTTGATCAGGATGAAGGTTGGGGGGTGATGCTTTCCCATTTGCAGTATGTCTGTAAGCTTCTCTTCCCTACCTTCACCTTCAGCATGGGGACCCTCACCAGGCACCCTCCATCTCTGTGCCTTCCAGCAGGACACTGCTTTTTCCAAGCTCTCTTGCTGGGAAGCTGCAAGTTTGAGACAGGTTCTGCTGCCCCAGGGCTTCTGACCAACGGTTACGCTGTTGAACACCTGGAGGACTTCTACCTGGGCCATCGCAACAGAGGTTGGAGCCCAGAACGGCTGCGTGGGAGTCACTTTAACTATTACACTTGGGTTTTCTGAGGCTCAGCCCCCTCCTTTGCACAAGGGTGAGGGACCCCGAGAGCTTTCATTTGCCTCGGCGGCCTGGGGAGCAGCCCCAGGGTGTTGGAGGAGTTGGATTGAGGGCAGGGGAGGCGAAGAAGAAAGCATTACTTAAGTGAAAAGCACTGCACGTCCCACCCAAGGTGCTGTCGGGCAGCTGACTGTCTCCCTGGCGTTGTCCTGTGCCATCAGGACAAAGTGTGGAAGATGTCCATGTGTCATCCACGTCCTGAGTGGGCTGCGGTTGGATGGGGGTTGCCTTCTGGTTCTATAGCCAGTCAGCAAACACTGGCTGGAGGGTGACTTCTTGCTCTGGCAGCGATGTTCAGTTAGCAAACCTGGGGAGCAGCCGACTTCTGTCTTTGCTTTCTGAACATCTTCGTTACCCAAGGCACACAGTGGGAACCCGGGGGGACGTTTGCATTGCGAACAGCATCCTTCTCCCTATAAATGCCATTGCGCCTGTGCTGCCTGGGTGGCTCATGCTTTAATTCCCTCTGGGCTGCCGTTCAAGGCCCGTCTCTGCAGAGCTTTACTGTTTATGAAACAAAATGTTGATTTTTTTTTTTTTTTTTTTTTTAAAATTATATTTCTTTTTGGTTCGTGGGAACAGCTCGCTATCGTAGCCTGGCTGAGGCAGAGCGAGAGCATCGATTCAGGAACCGCTGCTGTCGCTTCCACTTCATCTCTCTGGCAGAGCACTAAGGAAGCTGTCAGATGAAATCTGGGTGGCAAGATGGGCTATTTACTCCTGTTTATTTGCTGA